TTTGGTCTATTCTTACAGAAATCACAAACCAGCCACAGCGTTTTTGATTGGTGCAAATCGCCAGTTTTCAACCAATCAAATTCGCTCTTTTCATTGGTTTGTGATTTCTGTGATAACAAATCTTGGGTGATGTTTTAGCTAAATCGTGTAAAACAAAATTACTAGGAAACAATAGATAAAGTAAAATTGATTTGATGTACCAATCCAACACCATAATAACAAATATTTCTGCTTACCCTCCAGTTGAATGGGGGAGGTACCATGTTCCAAGTTACTTACCTATTTTGGGCATGTTTGATTCTGAAATTTTCACAAAATACTCGTTAGTACTTGTCTCTAGGATAATACTTGGACAATAATTAACTCGAAATAATTATTTATAACAAGAAAAAACACCAAAAACAACCACTTACCCCTGGTCCTCCATGCCCAAAAACGCGTTTAAAACTGCCCTCTTGTGTCACGCAAAAGTTCTTATTTCACGAAGTTGCCAGGTTAATTAACGAATTAAATTGATCACTAATCACCGGAAAAACTACTTAATAATAGGGGAAAATTGATTAAACTCCCCTAAACGTATTAAAAATTGAAAAACTACCTGTACTTTTCAACCGGCACCATTTCATGTAGCGAAAGGGGCAAAAGAGAACGAGGCAGCAACTTACAATAGAAAAGTCAACAAAACCACCCTGGCGCCATCTATGGCCCATTCATCATATCTAATAATAGAGCAGAGAAAACATTTTCTGTCTTTTTCTTTTATATGGTGATAGAAAAGGAGCACAAATTGAGTAGGCACCAATCAAATAGGGCAAATGATATTTGAAATAGCCGCCACAAACAAAAATAAATGGCGGCGCCAAAATAATATTTGAATAAAAATAATGAATAATTAAGCTAATAAAGGGTGTTAATTATTTATTTTAATTTTAAGTGTAATCTATAGGTATTTTGTTATATAGGTAGAAAATCTTAATTAATTCATTAAAAACCTCATAAAGAGAGATTTTCTATAGTGAAACAAGTTGATAAAATAGCAGAAAAGTAGGTACTTATTTTTCCTCTAAACGTTGCTTTTACTATTAAAAAACTAATTTTTATGAGAGAAAAGCTCATTTAAAACAATGGAAAAAATGTTGAAGAACAAGTACAAATCTAGAACAAACTTTCCAACCCTTCAAAAACAACCCTAATGATGTATAGGTACCTGCATAAATGGAAAACAGGGAAAACACTAATTTGATGTAGTTTTAGAGTTTATAAAGAACATTATCAAGTATTTTTATTAAGTACCTTTGTCTAGGATTTCATTTCAACAAGAATCAACTCAAAAATTTATAATAAGGAAAAACGATCATTTACATATCCATTCTCTAGCTGCTTTCAAAACTAAACTTATTTGTCAAACCAAAGTTTTTATTTCACGAAGTTGCCAAGTTAATTAACTAATAATTGTATTGAGCACTTATTACCCGAAAAACTACTTATTAATAAGGGAAAATAGAGGTAAAAATCACCTAATAAACGAACTAAAAATGGAAAAACTACCTGCCTTTTTAAAGGTGATGCAAATGATGGTAAAAACCAACATACCTAATCCAGAGCTTTGTTCCGGTTTGAAAATAGGACGGTTCTAGAACTGTTGAAAACAATCGCACAGTTTAGCAATTAACTCGACTATGTATCATACAAATTTCCAATAATAAACTGTGTGATTGTTTCATTCCGTTATAGAATTGTCCTTTTTTCAAACTTGAACAAAACTAATAGATACCTATATCTACCAACCGAAAACTTCTCGTGTAATAATTTTTGAGGTAGCCAAAAAGTGAAAAGATGAATTGCCTACGCAAAGGGAAAAACTTATATACCTAGGTATAGGGAGAATTTTTGTAATTAATTTAACAAGATGAAGAATTTTCCAGGGAAAAAATGTAGCAAAAGATAAATACAAATAATCTTTCTGTATTTAAACTAATAATTTTTCTGTCTTTGATCCTTTAATTATCTTATCTTTGAAGATTCAACATTGTATTGTACCTAGAAGGATCCTAATAAAGTCTTTCTATCTTTGATTTTTTGCTTTTTTTTCTTCAAACTTCTGTAAAAAATCCTTATTTGTGTTTTTGGTCTGTTTTTCAATTTTAAATATTTCAAATTCTCAGACTTTTCTCGTCTTTTGATGTTCTGTTTTGAGATCCTCGGAATCTATGTTCAAAGTTCTAAGTTCTTCAAAGGCTCTCTAATGTTGTCGATTTTACTCGAAGGTATTTTGTCTTTGTCTTCAATATTAGAGAGAACAATTGCATTTTCTCTCTTATAAGCATAGAATATTCAATAATTGTGAGAAAACTACACATCAGAGAAGGGATTTTTTTAAGAAAAAAGGAATCACCCAGAGCCTATATTTTCATAAGAAATGACATTAATTATATGCGTGTTACAGAATTTATGACACGGGACTTGACACCCATTGTCCTACAACCTACAACTCGACATTGGAGGCTGCAACCACAACATAGTAATTGCTTCAACATACTTTCCTGGAGATGGGCTAACGTCACCACCGCCGGAGGTACAAGAGCTGATCCAATATTCCAGAAAAGAGCGCCTGCCACTACTCTTAGGCTGCGACGCAAATGCATCATGTTATCTGGGGAAGCACGGATATCAACTATAGAGGTGAGTGTTTGCTTGAATTTCTTATGACTATCGACCTTGAGGTCTTGAATCTTGGTACTATGCCTACATTCGTGACTAGGACAAGGTCGGAAATATTAGATATAACTTTAGTGAGCTCCAGTATATTAGAGACCTCATCAAAAACTGGAGAGTATCAACCGAACCATCCCTGTCAGATCACAGGATAATTGAGTTGAACCTAGAGAATGTAAAATACAATAGACCCATATGAAGGGTTCCGAGAAAAACCAATTGGGAAGCCTACAAAACCAATTTACAGAACAACCTTTACTGCTTAAGTTCAGGTGGGAAAAGACACCACATGGACCTAGAGCAGGACACTAAGGGAGTCACAAAGGCAAGTGTCCGTCATCTTTTCAATATACAGCAAAATGTGACGGAAATTGGCAGGGATACGCAGAAGTGCTTATTCTGTATAACAAAGAGATAAAAAAAGCCAAAAGGCAACATTTCAGAACCTTTTGTGAGGAAATTGCTGACACTTCAACGGCTGCAAGGCTACATAAGGCCATGGCCAAAGGAGGAACAAATCCAGTGATGGCCCTCAAAAAGCCGTACGGCACCTACACGAAAGAGGAGCAGGCCTATTACTTCAAATGTACTTTCCAGGTAGCGTACCAGTAGAAATAACCACGGTAGTCGACACCAGTAAATTGAAGAAGAAGGACTGGGAAGCTGCAAAGAGGGTTTTTACTGCGGAACGAATGAAATGGGCAATAAGTACCTTTCAACCGTTTAAGTCACCAGGAGTGGACGGAATATTTCCTGCCCTTTTACACAAAGGGCAAAAGGAAATATTCCCTCACCTACTTAGAATAGCTAGGGCTAGTTTAGCCTCGGGGCACCTCTACACTCGTGCCAACATGCATACAGAGCAGGCAGATCGACAGAGACAGCGCTCTATCAACTTACAGAAATCATCCAAAAAACCCTTAAGGAAAAAGAAACAGCCATATGTGCCTTCCTGGATATATTCGGGGCTTTTGATAACACGTCCCATGGGGCGGTAAAAATTGCTTTGGAGAGGAGAGGAGTGAATAAAACCATAGTCCGGTGGGTCTGTGAAATGCTGACTACGAGAACAGCTGCGAGACAACTGTGGGTGAACAAACCACAAGCATTAGAACCACTCGTGGTACACCTCAAGGGGGATGTAACCTCACCCCTGTTGTAAAGCCTGGTAGTTGATGAACTCCTGTCCAGACTGACAAATCAGGGTCTAACTTGTATATAGGTTACGCCGATAATATTTGTCATTATTGCAAAAGGCAAGTTTGAGGGCACACTATACGACCTCATTCAAAAAGGCCTATTATAAATACTACCGAACAATGGTGCACATCGGTGGGGCTGCGCATCAACTCAGCAAAAACCACTATTGTACCATTTACACGAAGAAGGGAAATTCAACTTACTAGGGAAATTCACCTAAGTCAAATATCTGGGCGTAACACTGGATAATAAACTTCTATGGAAAAAACATCTAGAAGCCATTGTTAACAAAAGCTACCAAAGCAGGTCTATAAACCTAGCAGTCCCAAGGTGGAAAAAAACTTCGGGAACTACATAATAATTAGGTGCTTTTCAGGTGCTAATTAGGGCCTCTAATTAAAAATTAGATGCTCCTCTTGTTTTCGAGAAAATCAAAAAAAACTAAGGGATTGCTAGGTTTATGAAAGCTAGTAGTCCCCTATAGTAAAAAATATTTTTCCAAAATTTTCTTTTGTATCAGAATTAGGTGCTTTTTAGGTGCTCCTAAATAGTCGAAGAAAAAATAGAATTGATTAAATATTAACTGAGTTACAGATTTTTTTTTTAATTAGTAGGGGACTGGTGGCTTTACGTTTACTTGTTGGTGTGTCAGAATGGCAAAAAAACTTCGGGATCTATATAATAATTAGGTACTTTTTAGGTGTTCATTAGGGCCTCTAAAAATTAGGTGCTCCTCTAGTTTATCTAGATTTTGTATCCTAATGGTCAATCAACATACTCTAAACTCCATAAACTAAATTATTCTCAAATATGAAGCCGAAATCCATGAATAAAGGCACTCATAAAAATTGAAAAATTGATAAATCACCCCAAATTGCTTAACACGATTTTATCTCAGGAATTATAAGAGCAAATGAGCTGAAATTTTCAGGGATTGTAGTCCTCTACTGGAATAAGAATCGCTGGAATTTTCAGCTTTATATCTTTAATAGCAAAAAAGTTATGACCTTCCAAATTTTTCCAAAATCTAAATCATAAGGTTTTACTATTTGCTAATTATTAACTAAACAAACAGAATAACAAAATGTCTAAATCAAAAACTTTATTAATAATAAATTAACATAAGCATACACAAAAAACTTCATTAAAATCAAAAAGCATAATGAGTAACACCAGAATCAAAGGCAACGTGAGCAACAGCCGGAGCCGCAGAGTAAGCGACACCCAAAAGAGGCCCGTGGTAAGCAGCAGCAGCAGGAGCACCATAAGCCACAGCTGGAACACCGTAAGCACTGGAAATCTTCAATCCAGGATTCGAAATCCTGACATCAGCCTTCCTGACGCTACTAAACGGAGTGTCGATGCTTTTCGAGTAAGTGGAAATTTGTCCAAGATTGCCTGGCGATCTGTAAATGTTGGACGACTGCGACGTGATTGCTGGAGCTGAGTAGGAAATTGGAGCGCTGTAAGCTAGAGCCGGAGCTGCTTCGTAGCTGAGTGCTGGAGCCAAGTAGCCAGCTTGGACGTAGACGAGGACAGAGCACAAAATCAAGTACTATAAATAATATTAATAGAATGTTTATAAATAAAATAATTATTGCTATTACCTTAAAAGCCATTTTTTTTTCTATATTGTTTGAACTATTGTAGTAGGTAAAACTGGGTAGTTTGGTTGATAAGTAGTGTTGGATCAACTGATGCTCTGACCAAAATCCAACCACCTTTTTATACTAAAACCAAAGAACCTGAAAAACAACAATCAAAATTATTATTGTGGGACATTGTTTAATGTTAAGGTTACGACTTTGTGTTATTGGGTCCTTATTTAAGTGGTTCTTTAAGGTCGGAATAATTAAAGTAAAGGGCCCCTTTTGTGTTTTGGCCGGCAATTTATTGACTGACCTACATTGATAATCTAAAAGTAGTGGTTCATGCGGATCCATCTCAAAGAAAACAATCAAACCAATTATTATTTTAATTTTGAGCGGATGCATTTTTCAATGAGAATTGCATACATTGTTACATAACTCTGAGACTGGTAATGATATTTATCAAAAGTACCTGCACTTGACATTAAGATTGATTAAGTAATTGGGCAAGATAAATGTTCAGGCTAATAATTAAGATTTCTCACATCGAGTGTGATTTTAATTGAAGTGACATTAAATAAAGAATAATTATACAAGATATGATTAATTAACTACTTCGTTATTTAATTTGCTTACTTCCTGAGGAAAACGTCTAAAAGAAGTTGCTTTCAATAAGATGTCGAATTTGAAGTTTTTGACAAAATTTTGAGTAAAAGTCAATTTTGAAGGTCAATTGCTCCAAAACTATTTGAGCTATCAAACTCAATTTAATGCTCTTTCTAATGGTGTATAATTTAATTCAATTTGCTCAAAACTTAAAAAAGATATAGGCAATTGTTCATGACCATGTCAAGATTATGAAATTCTTCAGAGCTAAAAATAGGATTTTCTTTTTATTTTTGTTTCTGCTCAAAATGGGCATTTGGAATTGATGTTAGGGTTGGTTTCCACTAATTTTGACCTGCTTTATCGATTAATGAAGTCAAAATTGAGCAAAACTGGAAAATGAAAAAATCGAGATTTTCATAAGGGTACCCCCTTTGAATTCTGAATTCAAAATATTCAAACCTCAATTGCTCGGTAACGGTTGAGCAAATTGCATTGAAATTTACAGAATTTGTAGGTTTTATCAAGTTCTAAATGGCCTGTAATTTACAATATTTCCAGGCTTGTAGTTTTTGTGTAAATTGAGTTTGAAGTTTTTGACAAAATTTGGACTAAAAGTTAAATTTGAGGCTCAATTGCTCAGAAACTATTTGAGCTATCAAACTCAGTTTTGCACCGATTTATAGAGAATTTAATGCTCTTTCCAATGGTATATAATTTAATTCAATTTGCTCAAAATTTACCAAAAATATGGGCAATTGTTCATGACCATGTCAAGATTTTGAAATTCTCCAGAGCTAAAAATGAGATTTTCTTTTTATTTTTGTTTCTACTTAAAATGGTCATGTGGAATTGATGTCAGGGTTATTTTCCACTAATTTTGTCTCGCTCTATCGATTGATTTACCAGAAAGTCTTAGTCCTAAAGACGTCTTTAGGCAGACGTCTGAAAGACTTCGATTTTGTAAAATGCGACGTCTTGAATGTCGTTTGTAGAAATCTTAGGGATGTCTTTAAGATGCCCACAAAAATTCTCCACAGAATTCCTTTTTCATTCAATTTCGAAGTTATTGAATTGAATTTAAAATGCTACAAAACACTTTCCAACTTCAATAAGTCTTTTTGTTGAGTTCTAAACACTTAAAATTCAATTAAGAAGTTCCAAAAGCATTCTGTTAGCGTTTCAGAACATTTCAACAACTTCAGAACCGTTCTTTATACCTAGAATGCCCCAAAACATTCAAAAATTGATTCCAAAAGCATTTGAGGGGATGCTCCAAAACACTCATCAGTCATCTCCAAACACTCCTAGAATCCCTAGAAACATTTTGAAATTGAAACTAAATTCAGATTAAAAGTATCTAGGTAATACAAAACGCCTTTCATAAGGTTTTAGAATTAGTTCAGAGCGCCTAGCGCCTGGAATAGACAAAAAATATGTCTTTTTCAGGTATACGCATTACGTCTGAACGTCTAGAAAACCAAAAAGATATGTCTAGAAGACTTTGTTTTAAAAATGTCCATCATGAGATGTCCTAAATATTCACATCTTAAAGACAACTATTTGGTACAACCATCAGAGGCCTAAAAGTCTTAATGCGGTTTATGTAGGTATTGAGAAGAGATTCAAAGACGTTTTAAAGACATCTTGGTCAAGAATGTTTTAAGAATGTCTTAAGGCCATATTCTCCGTAGTTCATAAAGCCTGTGGCTTAGAGGGAAAGCTCGGCGTCCCACAAAAAGCCAAGTGTTTCCACTGAGCCAGGCTTTATATTATGAACTACGGAGAATATAGCCCCTAGTCCTTCGGACGTCTGAAAGACGTTGGGTTTTGTAATATACAACGTCTTCAAGACAAGATGTCTTTGAAAGACGTAAGCAATATTCCTTTTTGTCTCAAAAAGTCTCTTTCCTGTGAGTATTTTTAATAGTGAAGACAACTATTAGAACAAAAATAAGTATTTTTCTGCTATTTTCATTGATTAATAAAAAAAAAAATTTCTAACAAGCTATCCCTAAATAATTAACCCTTTATTAGCTTAATTATTTTTAATTATAAACAAATTAATTCAAATTTGCCGCCATTTATTTTTGTTTGCCGCCATTTCCAATGATCTATTCGATTAGTCAGCTTGGTGATAATTTAATTTATGGTCCTTTTTTATCAGGATATGAAAGAAAAAGACAAAAAATGTATTCACTGCTCTATTGATAGATATAGTGAATGGTTCATAGATGGCGCTACCATGGTTTTTTTGAGTTTTCCTAGTCATTTCGTGAAAAGGGCGAAGGCGAAGGGGTTTGCCGTTTAAAATGAACAGTGAACAGGTAGTTTTTCGATTTTTACTAGTCAGTTTAGGGGGTTTTCATCTGTTTTCCCCTATTAATTAGTAGTTTTTCCGGTAATTAGTGATCAATTTAATTAGTTAATTAACCTGGCAACTTTGTAAATTGAGAACTTTCGCTTGACGCATATGAGGACAAGTTTAAACGCGTCTTCTGGGTACGACAACCATAGGTAAGTGGCTGTTTTTTTCTTGTTATAACTAATTATTTTGAGTTGATTATTGTTTAAATATTATCCTTGATACAGGTATTAACGAGTATTTTGTGAAAATTTCAGAATCAAATATGCCCAGAACAGGTAAAGTAACTTGGAACATGGTACCTCCCCCATTCAACTGGAGGGTAAGCAGAAATATTTGTTATTATGGTGTTACAAACCATCAGTGAGAGCGAATTTGATTGGTTGAAAACTGGCGATTTGCACCAATCAAAAACGCTGTGACTGGTTTGTGATTTCTGTAAGAACAGACCAAGAGGTAGATTGCTTGTTAACCTTTATGACGTCATATGTGGTGCCCAAACATAATACAAATCTCCATTATCTCTAATGAAAAAAATCGGACTTTGGTCAATAGGTATCTCGAAATCGGGGCCAAATACAAAGAAACTGCGGAAATAATCATTTTCATTAATAAACTAGTGGACATTTTACCCTAATTCAAATCTCGATATTTTTGGAAAGGAAAGAGATATCGAGTTGCGGTATTATTGAGAGATTCTTCGTCAATCCTTTGATAACACGTACATATAATATATCAGAGCTGGACAAAGTCCTCAATGAAAGGGCTTGAAGCACTAAGCCCTAAGCCTTTTATCAAAGTGCTTTTAACTCCAAACACAAATTCCTTTTTATTTTCAAAAGTGCTTCACAAGCACAAAGCCCTCAAAGTGCTTTATAAAGTAATTTATAAAGTGCTTGATGCACATCAAAAGTGCTTGGGGTGCCTCAAAAAGGGCTTTGAAGCTCTTTAAATGTGCTTGAAGCTCTTCAAATGTGCTTGAAGCTCTTCAAATGTGCTTGAAGCTCTTCAAATGTGCTTGAGGCTCTTCAAATGTGCTTGAAGCTCTTTAAATTTGCTTGAAGCTCTTTAAATGTGCATGCAGCTTTTTAAATGTGCTTGAAGCCCTTTGAATATGCCTCGAAATCTTAGTACTCCTAACAACATTAGTGTCATTTTCTTTGATGTTAACAGAACAAAAAAATTAGCATATCGATACTGGTATCGATATTTTTAAAATATCGTACCTATTGATAATAGAAATATTGATAAGCGAAAATCTCGATTCTATATAGATAAATATCAATCAGAAAATTCGGTGGAATGCGGTCTAAAAGTAATTAAAGCTCATTGAAAGGGCTTGAATTACTTTTTTTCAATTACAAATTACCAAGCACTTTTCTGAAGTAATTGACTTTGCAAGCCCTGATTACAAATATGTAAAAGGGCTTGAAGCACAGGGCTTTCAAGCCCTCAAAGTGCTTCAAGCACTTTTACAAGCACAAAGCACTTAAGCCCTGCACAGCTCTGTAATATATACGTATATACTCGCGTATATATTTCTTACATTTATCCACTTATACAGGGTGAGCAAAAGAAATTATATTTCAGATGTTCAATTTTTGATCTTGGAAGTTTTTCTAGGTAGGTATGCAACTTTTTGATCTTTAAAACTATCCTCAAATTTTTCGAAGGTTGGCTATAACTGATATTATTGAATTTTTAAAAAAGATGTTACATTTTATTCTTAAAAATTGTTTTTCGAGGTTTCTCTTAAGAATGGGTATTTTTCTCGACATTTTCTGTTTCTCTGATCCACTTCAAATTTCAAAGAATTATCAAATGAAACTTCCTTTATTGGAAATCTCAAACTGCTTATTGGTATATTGGCTATATTGCTCAGAATCTGAGTTATGACTCTTTTTCTAAACTAGATTAATTTTTAAAGACAAATTGAATTTTGATAGTCTGTCAAAACATGTTGCGCTTTTCTGAGCAACTTTCAAGTTTTAAATAATTATAAAATGAAACTTCCTTTACTGAAAATCTCAAACCATGTGTTGATATATTGCTCAGAATCTGAATTATGACTCTTTTTCTGAATTAGATCATTTTTCAAGGGCAAATTGGATTTTGCTAGTCTGTCAAACATTTTTCGCTTTTCTGGGTAACTTCAAATTTTAGAGAATTATAAAATGAAACATCCTTCATTGGAAATCTGAATTCGCATGTTAGTATATTACTCAGAATCTGAGTAATTTCATGTAGCTTGTGCAAAGTACTTCTAATGATCACAGTGACTTGAAACTTTCAGGATTTATGAATTGAAGTTTCCTCTTTATTTGAAAGTTAATTTAAAAGAAAATTTGAAAGAAAATTGTATTTTTTAAGTAAGAAATTTCAATTATCAAAGCTAAAATGCCTCTTATAAAACGCTGATAAATAAATATTTCTAGGGGTTT